ATATCATTCTGTATGCATATTCATATCGCGTATTCATACGCGTCGCGGGTATTTGTTTTATGGGGACGCCCCATGACTCCATTATTCTTCCTATTTTGTGAATTTACAAACGTGCAAAGTCTTTGTTCGTTTCTGGCGTACAATTTTATTGGATAAGCGTAGCTTGTAATCGTTTCATTCTGATCCCAGAATACATTTCTCTCGAAACTGGAAAGAAATTTCATTGAAATAATATTGAAGAATATTTTCAGAAACTGTTTGAAATTGTATACCAGCAACTTTTCCAACCGTGCAATCCACTTTCGATATTTAGTTTCAAAATAATGTGATTCGTGGCGACCAAATAATGAGACAGGGAGATACGATTTACATCGAGCCGTAGCTTTCTATTCTGCTTTCACGATTTTCTTTTATTGGTCCTTTCTCTAAGTACTTCATAAAATACATAAAATTGTATAATTGATAGGTTAAGCCTCGATTGAAGGTGGACTAATTAAGTTTCCATCACCCACTCAGTTTCATTCCAATTAGATTTCGACTACTTGTCTGGAAATACTAACTTTTCCTTTCCTATTAATAGATTCGAAGCCGTAGTTAATATCCCGTGAATTAATAAATCCTAGAATACAGGAAACTTTAAATGCCTTAATTAACATTTTCAACCGATTGGAAACTCCTATAAAAAATTTTGAATATTCTTTCCAACAGAATTACAATAGGTTGGTTTCTATTTATATTTTCATTTCAGATCTACCATCCTATTTTCCTTTCACGTTCATGAATTTTAACAGAAAATAAATGCAAATCTACATCGTAATACTAATTTATAATATACCAAGGAGTTGCAGAAAAATTCAAAATATGTAAAGTGTATTAAAACACATCAACCACGCTCTAATAATATTCTTATTTATCAATCTTTCCTCGTTTACCTAATCCTGCTTATTCTAACGAATCCAATTAACATCTGGAACGACTCGAATCGTCCATGGCTGTCTCGAATTCATTAACAATAATATAATGTCAAGCAAAGATTGCGTGGGGGGTATCGATATTCAATGCGTTTTGAGAGTACCAATTTTACCCTTATTAATTCCTACACGAGGACGATTCGCTAGAAAATTCGCGACCTAACGAACAAAGGATCCTTCGATGACTTGGTGGTCGTGGGCGGATTTTAAAATAAACGCGAGCTTTCACGCGGCGATCGGGTCGTGGGTGAGCGATCGCGAGATCAGTCATGGCGGCGCGGCGAACAGAGACAGTCCGCGATCCGAGGCACTATAAATCACCGCCGACTTACGCGGCTGAAGGCGATAAATGCGTAATTAACCGCGCGTGTCAGGGACTATTTAAATCTTTAACTGGGGGATACGAGGAACGTCGAACGGACGCCTCGTTTGATCTCGAGCTGCCGCAAATATTTTCTGCGACGCGTTCGATGCCCCCTCCCGTTATCTATAGTGATCAATTATAATTTTAGTCTCCGATGCGGTCAAGATCCATGTATTTACTTTCTCGTTTGGGTCAAGTAACGCATGGGACGTGTCGAATGTTTTCGAATAATATTATTTATACCTGAACCCCAAACCCAGAGTGATTTAAGTCGACTACTTTTAAAAAAATGACATTTTACATGTTCCTGTATCAAATATTTCTACTCTTCATCGATACGAAATTTTTTTGGTATAAACAAATTATATTTTGGAGAATTTGTTAGTACCATATTATTCTATATACTAAACCGCAAACCTCGTCCATTAGAAGTTTGCAATTATCTCCTCTGGTTTTCGAGATATTACTTTCGGGTAACCTACTGACACTGTTGTTCGTGTAATTTAAAGTTCAGAACCTTTTTTCTCACTATGGCTGATAGGGCAAAAAGTGGTTATCGATGTAATGCATATTCGAATGAACACATTGCAATTTTCAAGGAAATATTTCCTCCTATGTGAAAAAATGGTGACTGATTCGTGTCCTTGTTCTGCTGATTTAACCACTCCAAATATTTTTATTTAATGATACTTAAGAAACCGACCACAATTGAGCACTTGAAGAACAAAATTTATCAAGAAATTCCAAAAATAACATAGGAAACATATAAACACGTTATATAAAATATTAAAAAAGAGCGAAGTTATACAGCAGCTAGATATAGCCACGTCAATACTTAAAGTGAATAGTGACACTAATTCGAGTACTGGAAACTATATTACTTTTTAGCATACATGAATGCTATGAGTAATGATTTAATGAGAAAGTATTCACAAAATGTCTGTTGCACGAAATCAAGATAAAAGAAAACAGAATATTACTTACGTGTCGAAAGCTTCTGCAAACCCCAGATGTCTCGCAATCGTATTTTCTTCATTGTTTTAGCACACTGTTATCACACTTTTCACTTATCGCAGTTATTAACAAGGGAACTTACACGGCAAATCGAATCGCGAAATAAACGAGGGGAATATAAAAGAGAATTATCGGCCTACATCGGAATTCAGTTGTGCACCGATGCAGAACAAAATCTCGATATCGAAGATCACAGAACGATTTTGTTTTTTAATAGAAAAACATGAGTGATCGATTACTTTCAGATTAAAGAAACTAATACACAATTATTCTATTAGAAATTAATATGCAGCGATAATTTACGTCATAGAAGATTAACGATTTGTCAGATTTTTTATTAATTACGACAAGGTTGCTTTCGGTTTTTGACACGGTAACATATTAAACTCGTAATCGAATGTAAACTACATCCGGCAATATTATTTTAATCGCATAAAAAAATTGCGAAAGAATTCCGATTGAAATTTTTTCTGATTCGGACGTTAGAACACGAAACGATGTAATCATGGCGCCGATCACCGTACAACTGAATTAGAAGGTATTCTATTCGTTTTCGGAATGGCAGCGTGACCTCGGTCATTGTTTTCATCGACGAAACCCTATGCATGCTAGAGAATGTATACCCGAGTACCTGCTCTCTAATTCCAGGAATTTTAAGGCTCAAGGTCTAACAAAGAATTAAAAGCTAAATAAAATGTTGTGGTCTGGCGAATAAATTCCGCGTGGTCAAGAAATATTTATGACTTATACCATATTTAAATCCCTACTATCAAGTGTTAACACATATTTAGTAGTAATAAATATGAATATTGACGATTGCAAATAGTTACTAAAAATCATTATGATAAAATTTATACGATAATTAAATAGGAATGCTGTCTATCATTCAAGTAACTGTAATTACACAACTACAGTAAAGACTGTACAGTAAGAATAATTTCAACACCTCACAATTCTATTGTTTGTCCGAAGTCCGACCCACGGCAAGAAAAACAGGGAACAACAAATTATGCGCTTGACAGATTTCACGGCCTCCCCACCCCAGTGGTGAGGATGAAGTAGAAACTCTCACGAGGAACTTCCTCTCCAACTCTCATCGAGTCCTTACTGTATTCAGTTGTTTTAATTCAGAGAAAGTAATGGGTAAAAATAAATTCATTATTTGTCGCAAAAACTGTTAAAAGGATTTTCATAGCATATTTACTTTAATATCATACTATTTCTCACTTATGGAACAATTTCGTATTCATAACAGCGTTAATATGAAAACATATGTACATAACACTTACCTTCGTATTTATATTCATAAGAATATGCTGTACAGAAGAATCAAAATAAAATCCAATTACGTAGAAGGATATAATTATTAATTGTAAGAACATTTTACAATTTGCCATCAAAAAAATGACAACTTGCAAAAGTAAAAATTTTCGAGTTATAAAATGAATCCATTGGATTTTCACTTCCATAGAAAAGCAAGGAAGAAACTGTAATAGCACGATTCAGTATACTCACTGTTCGAGGGATGCAATAATATAATAATGGAAAGGAATAAAAGAGGATCTGGCGCCGGATCAAGATAACGTAACAACACCATGTAGTCTTGAGAATAAATTAATATATTTGAAATGAATATACGGTAGATACTGTCTCGCATCCCAGATTTTATGGCATCTCATAACATTCCCACTCTCTCTTTCTCTCATTCCCTTATCGATCTCGTTCCTCACAAATGCACGCGCAACAGAAAACGAGGAGATCCCGGATCAGCTGTCTCTTTTCTTTTTTTTTTTTTTTTGTACCACGCCTTTATTTCATCAGCAACTACCTAAAGATCTTTTTACTTTCTATGTACACGTGTGTGTGCCAGGCGAAATCTCTATTGCTTTAAATAATATCCGCGAACTCGACGAACACTGGGGTATCGGCTACAAGAATTAAATAAAAAAAAAAAAAGAAAAAAGAAATACGAATCCGTTCATACTTCCGAGCTATTTACATTAAATACACGCGCCGCAGTCTGTCTCACTCGCACACGCTCTCTTAGACCATCCGTCGATCGTCGACCGTGCATTTAACGAATCATGTCCAGAACCGATCGACGGATGGATTAAGGGTTCAACGAACGTAAAAGGGTAACCCGTTCGTGTTTATTGCACATTCTCGTTTCTACCGGGGACAAAGAAGGGAATCGAACACGCGGGACAGACAACATGATCGCTACACGCACTCGATGCAGATATGTCGAAACTGATATAAGCCATCCTCTATTCAGTCAGCGAGCTCGTCCCATTCTTCGAGCTGTCACTAATTCGCAGGATCATCCCAGAGGAATCTTACCGATCGCGACCACGAATCCGTAAAATCGGAGAGCTACAAATTTGCAATTAGTACCTAATCATACTCAGAATCCATCCCCCTAAACACAGTAATCACCAAACGTGATCCTCTCGTCTGTCCAATTACCTAGAACCTCTGATCCCTCCAGCGATACTACGATGCTACTCTAAAAGTGTCTCCTGATCCTCTGAACCGTCTCGTTGTTCTCGATAAGTGTTCGTGACTGGCCCATCACTTCGTTGTCGATCAAACCGTTCACCAACTTGTCCTTAGCGTTCCTCGTGGACTCAGCAGTCGGTTTTCTAGGATGACTACGTCGTGGATGGTGAAGTGGGCACCGAGATCGGTGACGTTGGGCTGCTGGACCCCCTTCCGTTCGACAATGTCGGCGTCGAGGCTCTGTATTCGTTGTGGATCCCAGGTGTGCTGGTTCGATTATTGCCTAGTAGGCTGTCGATCGAGAACGGGTTCAGCCTCTTCCTCTCTTCCCTGCCTTTCACGGATAGATCTATGCTACTGCTTTGAACCTCTTCCTCTTTGATCTGTTGCTTAACCGATGTCCTCTCCGGGTTGCTGTTGTTGTTCGTTGTTTGACGCGTTCCGCTCGCGTTGCTAATGTTCACTAGCTCCCTCCTTCTTTCCAGGAGGCTCAATCCCCAATGACGGATACCCTGCTGGTGGTTCAGGTGGTCTAGGCTTAGGCTGGAGTTAGGGTTCTGGTGGTTGCTGGCAATCTGGTTCACGTTTCTTCGGTGATCGTTCTGGTCCCCGGTCACACTGGACAGTCTTGGGTAACACTCTCCATCTGCCGAACCGTCAGCCGCCGAATCGACCCTCTCGCTGCCGCTCTCGCTGCAGGAATCCAGCCCGCCCACGACGTCGATCTCCTCGTTCGCGTCGTTCCCGGACCCTGACACGCTGCTGCTCTCGTTGTTGTTGCTCAGGTGGCCGAACGAGCTACCCAAGGTGCCGTTCAGAGAGCTCCCACCAGAGGCAGCGGCGCTTCGCGACTCCCACTCGGCTCTGAGCGTTGACAGGTCGACTGTGATGCCCTGGAAACAGAAGGACGCGCTTTTCGGTATGATACTTTCGGCTCGGTTTGCGAGTTTGGTGAGGCGACAGAGCTAAAGTGTGATTAGGATTGGAAAGTTTAGACTCTGCTGACTAGTATATGAATTATTCATGTTAAAGTAACTTTAAAATAATTGTATCAGGTGATAGATAGTTTTCGGTTGCTATGAGCTCTGAATGTTACCTTCGCGGCCAACTTCCTCTGCTGTCGTTCGAGAGCCTTTAACAACTTCTTCTGCCGCCTTTCTCGCTCCTTTCTTCTCAGTTCTTCCGGCGGAATCGGCTCCCCGCTACAGCTCTGGGGGTGAGCGTTGTGCGCCGGCCTGCCTGGACCCTTCTTCGTGTGCTCCTTCTTCCTCCATTTTGCTCTTCTGTTCTGGAACCACACCTGGAAACAACCGAATCAAACAGTTCAATTATGTTTTAGAATACATTGGATATTAGTCAATGTTTTCGGATTCTCCAAAGAATTATCATTCGTAAATTCCTCGAGATTAATTTCATAATTATTGACCCGACAGAAACAAACAGGAAAAATTCTCCAGTTTTAAAGTAATTAAAATATCAATTATCACTTGTCCTTTGACATTTCTGATTCTGTTACTACAAAATGGAAGTTCTACCAATCTTTTATGATCATTCACTGTCATTAATTATGCACTTTTAAAACCTACTTATCAATATTTAAATACGGACAATCTTCTCGACGTTATATAAATAGAAACGAGAGAAATTCTACGTATCCTCGTCATTTCAGGAATCACCAATTACCCCAAGTCCCTTTACTTCGAATAATTAAAACCACTTCGAGGGGCGGCACGGTCGCGACGGTTAAACATCGGAATTACGCGAAGGAACCTACCCCACGCGGAAGGACCAACGACCCCCTGGAGTGTCTTGATTCATGGACAGTCTCAACACTTTACCCCCGTGCTCGCGTGAACGCTCGTGGCGTGAAGCACGATTTAGAGCCGGCGTGAATTTCTGCGGCGGTCGGCTAAGGGCGAGCGTACGTACGAAGGAACGAGGTAAAACGGGATGGGGGAGGGTTGAAAAGGTGGTTGAAAAGGATGAAGACATTAGTTGTGGCTTGAGGCCGGTGTGCGGCGCTGTTCACACGCGAGCTACAGATCAATAGATCCACACACCAACCCCTTGCAATACCTTCGTCACGTCACGTGCTCTTACAGTTGCTTCGTTTTCTTCTGCTGTTTACTTTTTGCCTTCCGGGCGAAATGAGATCGAATCAGAGAGATAGAGAGTGAGAGAGAGAGAGAGATGAAATTGCTTGTGCACAGAGTTGGCCATTTTTCAGACGAAACTAGCCGAGTTTGATGGAACTTCGAAAGAAACATTCTTAGGAAGGTGGGGGGTGTAAATTACTTTATCAGGCAGCGTGTTCCATTGCACGGAAATAGAATGTACCCTGGGACTATTTAATTTTCATTGTGAGCTGCACGACGGTCAGTTTACGTGTTCCTTTGGGTAGACGAATTTTCAGTTGATTGAGGGGATAATGAAAGTCATTCGAGGTAAAAACCTTGTTCATTGTTCGATGAATGGTTACATTCCCTCAATTAAATCTGGTTTAAACTAAAATCGATTTAGGGGAATTTCTTGCGAAGACATTATTAAACCGATCTCTTTGAAACCTTGAGAATACTTTATTGTATAATTAAACTAAATACAAAAATTCTTATTTTCGTGAGAAATTTTTAAATATTATAGTTATACGGATTTATGTGCAGTCGGTGAGCAAAAGAAGGTGTTCCGCGCCGAGGAATGTATCTTCTTCACGGCATGAACCTACATTTATAAGTAGTTTTTTACATTTATAGAGTTTTAGTAACATTTTTAAAAAAAAATATCATTTTTTCAATTTTGCATGTTTTAACTTCAAAATAGGTTCATGCTGCGATGCAAATTTTAGAGGATATGCTTCTCACCAATATTTATGAATTTGTCGTGAAATTAAAAATGTTTGTACTCGGTTTAATTTTCCAATAAGATATTCTCAATGTTTCAAAGAGATTGGTTTAATACTTTCTTTGCAATAAATTCTCAAAGATTCGTTCATTTTTACGCCAGGCACCTCTTTAAGGAAATATAGTTAGAGATCGTTTGATCGTTATATATGTAGACTACTTGTGTTAAATTAATTTACAAGTTTCTCTGCTAAAGAACATAATTAAAAATTAAAGTCGGAGTTTGGGCCAAATTAACCTGAACACCGCACAAGGATTAAAGAATGAAAATTTAGGATGACAGAAACGTTTGAGGGATTGTATTCTAGTAATTAAGGAATTGTATTCAAATAATCTTGAATTTTCGAAAAACATAGAGAATTTCTATAGAACCTATTGGCATTGAAATATCGTGAAATCTTGAGTCAGTCTAAGATCGTCGCAATAAGTCACAGCCCCGAGTTCATCATCGATTAAATGTTATCGCCAACAAATAATAAACAGTATTAATTAGACGTGGCGCGTTCATCATTCAATTTTATTCGGATACGCAACCCGTGATTAAATATACTCGGCGGACTAAGCATATTTTTCCACTAACGCAACGATAAATCTAGATACGACACATTACACGGCAAATGAAATGTTAGTTCGTAATCAAGGGAATCTGAATAACTTCTGACCAGCGAAAAATACAAAACGAAACCGTTAAAAGTTTTACGAAAAATTCATGTATATATCGCGGTACCCGCAGTATGGTAACGACACGAGCAAATATATGTATAAATTGCGAGTGTTGCAGTTGTTCAATAGTTATTAGAAAATCGGAGGAAAAATTATAATGATCGACAGCTGCAATACATGATTAAGTTGCAGCATGGGAAAGGTTGCATCCACATTGTTACCCCTATTCGGTAGACATTATCGCCGACTGATAGCTGCTAACAAGCTGATCTACCGATACCGATTATCACCAGCCCGGACTAAAAGTGTAACATGTTTTTTTCTTCGTGTAAAGCGCTTGCATGCACGTTTGTTTCTTGATTATAGTGACCATAAAATTTTCCAAACGGACAGGGAAAAAAGCACTTTAAATGCGGGCGCTTCTCGGACCCTGAGAAAATACGATGCAGCCGTTCGTTTTTCGTCACGAATATCCGATACAACCATAGTTGAAGTAGCACAAACTTCTACTCTAACAAAATTTGGAATAATCTAAAATGATGGAGTGTACTTGGTCTGATTTACTTGATTTTTAATTAATGATTGAATTAACTTAATTTAATTGTACATATGGAGCTATAAAAAGCATGTCGTTCCTACCTTTGAATATAATAGGTAATTTAACTGTTAAATTTTTGCTATAGAAACAGAAAGTGCGATAATTATGAAATAGAGATTGTATGTAACATTCTATGTGTGTGTGTGTAAGATAGAGAAGATGCGAATGTCAACAAAATAGATGTTGGGACGATCGTGATTTATGACAAGCCAATTAGTCATCGAAATTATTCAAAATATTTATGATATTGTTTACATCCTACATTTATAGTTTACTTAAATACATTACTCTTTGTATTCCTATTTATTACATACGATAGAAATACAGTCAGAAAAATTGAACTAATGAATAATTCTAGAAAATAGTCAAACTGCTCTAACTTTATATCGAAAAAGCTAGACTTCGTGACATGTACATAGTGGAAAAATTAAATCAGCATCGTGTTCAGCAACCTTCAATTAATACAAAAAATCAGGCTACTTCCATTATTTTAGGATTTCATGAACAATGTAGTTTATAGAAATTCGACCATCAAAATTGCTCACAAGCAATCGTTAGATTTCAGAATAAATAAAAAAAATGTAAAGTATGTCCGTAATTTAACTACAGATAGTATGTTATTTAGACGCTTCACCAACAGTGATCGATTCCTATATTACATAACAATCATTAATCACAATCAAATGTGACGTTCCCGATAAAATCACCGGTCACGATTTATCACCTTATAAATTCTTTAACAAGCTTTGTCATTGGTATAATCACCGTATCATTATCCCGATTAGTATTCAGTCTCCTCCAGTTTATGACACACTCTTCAATCCAATACACCGAGCATTAACACTAACATAAAACGTTCCGACCAATCGGTATTCCTGACGGGACGACAATAGATCATAAAATACTGACACAAGAAAGCATCCAGGACTACAATAACTTCCTGTTTATGTCCTGGACGCAAAAACCGTCTTTGGAGCGTAACTTCATCGACGATTCCTCAATCATATGTCGTTGGTTAGATCAAACGGGTGGAATTAAAGTGACGTCGAATCGAGGTAGTAAAAATGGTACGATCGTTATTGAAATTGTTCTGCCAACGGCGGAATCGACACCAAGCACACGGCAACGTTAATAAAGAGGATCAAAGAGGACCAGTTCTGAACGGCAGGTCGTAAAAGAACACGAAGAGAAAATAAAGAGGGGCCACTTGTCGTTTTCCATGCAATTGATTTTTAAAGAATATCCTGGCTCCATTTCGTTTCGCCTTGCGTGCTACCTCTTCGTACGATGGTTTCGTGACGTAGATGCGACGCGTATATACACCGGGGGACAGGTTGTTCGGCAGTTTTCGGTGAATATGTTAATGATACCGCGAGATCGTCGAACGACGCGTGCAACGATCGACGATTAACGAGCACGGAACATGGTGGTTCATTTGAATATAAACGGAAGAGATCATGGTGGACGAGAAAATGGCGCACTCTCACGATGCCGCGTTCCGTGTAAATATCAGAACGAGAATTCCGCCCGGTTTCGTGTGTTCATCGTGGGTTTAAAATGAAGATTTATTGTGTCATTTTTTTAAGTATACATTGTTCGTGTAAACGTCGCGACGGAAGGTGGAAAGGCGTTTTTCTTCACCGAAGACGATGAAATACTATTAGCAACGTTGCTATTTACAGAGAATAGTTACGATTGTTGACTTAGTGCTTGTAAAAATATATTCTATTGAGGAGAAGTTATTGTTAAAATATTGTTAAATACTTGGTTTTAATTTAATAATAAATTAACGGTTAAATAATTGTTAAAATACAGTTTGTGTAAACACGTGGCGAAAAGTACGACAGCATTTTTCTTCACCGAAATTAAGATGATATTGGTGAATTCTATAATTTTAGAACATACATAAACGTTTGTAAGCCCTATCTCATAAAATTATATCCTATTAACGGAAAATCAATGTGTGTACAGGGCATCTACATACAGACTCATCTCGATTATCGTCTGGTTTGTTCTACACGATTATTGTCCAAGTGTTATCCCCACCATTGAGAAGGGTGGGACATGGAACCTGTCAAGCGCATACTTTGTTGCCCCTTTGCTTTTGTTGTCGAGGCTTGAGCTTTGAACGAAAAACGAATT